CGCGGTCTGCGTGTAGCCCTTACCAACGTCTGTGGTTCTATGAACAAGCGCGATAAGATATGCTGCTTCGTTGCTTTCGAGTGACCAGATGTAGTGGGACTCCCAGAGACGTGGTTGAACCATGAGGCAATTACCCATGAAGATGAGCTCAGTGGCTACTCATGCTTCTATTGTGATAGGTTTTTGAATGCCCACAGTGAAATATTGTTCTACATCCGGTCTTCTCTGTGTGCGAGACTTGTAAACGCTCACCAGGGCGATGATGGTCCATGTGAGCAGTTGTGGTGCTCGGTCCACCTCAAGTGCGGTGAGGTACTCCTGGGTGCATATTATTGCAATACACTGAGACGTTGTTCGGAGTGCCTGCTGCATCCCCGTCCCCAAGGTGAAGTCGATGGGTCTGAGAGTGGGCTAACCGTCCAGATTTCTCAGATACTGTCCCATTAATCGACTCCTTTCGTGGATATGAGCTAAGTATGAGCTAGAACAGTATTCAGGTATTGACCATAGCGCCGAATTTCACATTCCTCCATACCTTGCCAACCATTAGTGTTGATGAACTATTGCCGAGATTTCCAGTCAGAAGTCATTTCGGGTGTTGCGGACATCAATCGGAACTACATCAAGTGCTCCGGAAAACCGTCTGAGATTCGCCCATTGTCCAGAAGAACCGATACAAGAAGGCAAGCGGTTACCGGCGCCTACGAAGCAATAAAGGCTATTCCGATTGTTATTAAGCTCATACAGCTCATTTGTGAGTGCTATCTCAGCTCGAACTGGTGGTGTTGTTTCGTAGACTATGAGTGCAGCTGGTGGATAGGGAATACTCAAAATAGCTAGAGGATATAGATCTGTGTTGCTCCATCAAAGTTAAAGAGGACACGTGTGGAATCAAGTCACTGATTACTGCGCGTTTCCAGCATATCACAGTAGCGCCATACCTTATTCGGGTGCGACGCGCCCCTTAAATATGAAATGCGGAATATTTGCATCTAGGAATTGCTTGGATTGAGAAACCGATGCTGCCTGGACTATTGTCTGGGGTAAACTGTTCCAATATTTCAACACACAACGCCCGAAGCAAAGAAGGTGAGCTGAGCTGTTTCCGATTCGGCAGTAAAAATTGCACAATTCTCATTCAAATCATGTAAACAATGTGTTTTATGCACTCATGAAGGGTGAATATTCAGCTCTAACACACGTCACGGATAAGGATAAATAATGAAAATGGGTAGTACACGAGGATAGGTATAAAACCTAGATCGTTAAAAAAAACTTGACAAAATATCACTGCAGTAATATACTAGTCAGTTCCTGAATGACTGAAATTTTATCCTTCAAAAAACGTGGCCGGCAGAAAACTACTGATGTACTATATGTCCTTGTGTGTGCGCATATGGTTTGTGCTCGGACAGACCCTGTGGTGGGGGTGGCTAACATCAGTGAGCATTTTAGATGCAAGCTTGTTTTGGAAGTTGGCATGACTGGATACAATGATGATAACATGCTGAGACCTTAATATGCCACTACAGAGGGGAAAGATGCTTCAATGATCTGGCAATTAGTTTGAGGTACTTACTCAGGAAACCAGGAAAGATTACGGGATGGTAATACCTTCAGTAGGGAAACACTCATGCAGTGATAAAACGCTGGATCAAAAATCGGGGTACGAAGAAAGATCAGAGACGAGAATGAGAGCTTCTTAACTTTAATAAATGCTTCATTCACGTGAAGGGACTAAGATGATAGTACACGACGACAATCAAAACAGAGGTTTGGTGGCGGTCAGTAGAGTCCTCGATTGCCAGAGGTTTTGTATATGTATGGAAAAAATACACTGTTTTCTTTCGCATTATTTCAATGGGTAGCCTGTCATCTGGCTAGCCTCATTAGCCGCGTTTTGTTTCTTTCTGTTTCATTGGCTCGTGGTTGCCCCATCATCCGCTCTATCCCTGCACTGCGTCTCGATGTCACCTGTGTTCCGTGACTGGTACCTGATTGGTCGTATTTTCTCGGACCGCTAATCCTCGGTTGGTACGCGTTCGGTCTGTCGTTAATAGCCATTTTGGGTAGTCAATGCTCACCCATGATTTCGTTGACCAATCTGTTCTTCCGGCTTTTTCATATGCGTAACGTGCTACTGGAGTGTTCGCCGCGCTGCAGTGTTGACTTCCTTTCACACGGTTGGTTGCCGATCCATCGCAGTGATCCAGACTTCAATCGCGTGATATCTCCTCGCTCGGGTGAATCGGCTGCGTTCCAAGATCCGCGGTTAGCTTATCGGGCCGACTAGGCTCGGCCAATTTCTCAAATCCCATTACAGGGAGCACGTAGGTTCACTGCTTGGTGTCACTCCCAGGTATTTTACTGAATTAAATGAGGTCCAACCCCACAGTTTACGAAACTTTACAAGCACTAGGCTAGCATTTGTTGGTAGCAGTTAACATTGGATGGCGAAAACAGAAGATTCTTGCATTTTAAGGTGTTCAACGATAGGCAAAGGGATTTGGACCAAGCTAAGAGGTTGTGTAGGAGGGTTCGTAGTTTGGCCGATGAATCTACGGTTGGATGATGGACGCAAAGGATCATGTCATCCGTAGATTTTAGTAATATGGCTTCCTCCAGGCACGGGGATTAAAGTAACGCAGATGAAAAATAGGAATGGGAACAAATTGGCTCTCTGAATAACACCAGAATTCGTGGTGAGTGAAGATTTTTCCCAAAAAAATCCGGTAACATGGGTAAGCCTGGTGAAATAAGCTCTGGACAGAAGAACAACCGAAGTATGGGCCCCAGAGCCTAATTGATCGCACAACAGCAGTTTTACGGTTCACACAACCGTTACTAAAATTCAGGTAAGAAATTTAGATGGATGTGTTCTTATTATCCAATGACGAGAGCACACTGCGTACCAGGCATAGCACTACATCTAAGGCGGGACCTTGAGCTGCGACATGTAAACCGATGTCCGCATGTGCAGCAGTGGCCTTAATATGAAGAAATGACCCAGAGGGAATACGCGGTGAGTCATAATGAGGTCAACTCTAAACCGACCATACGACAGGGTGTACAGCCCTAGTCTGCTACATCCCTCTTCGCACGACATACCCCGTAAACTGGGGGTGATTCTGGAAGTTACATGCCGAACACGTTCCGGTCTGTGTATCTCGTCACGAGTGCTCGGGTAATAGGTGGATGATCCGTACGCTAGCATTGATTTTATGACAGAAGATAAGAGTCGAGTGGCAATCTCTTCCGACCAAATGTAGGAGTTACGTTTGAGTGCATAAAGCGCCGTTCGTTTCTAGATACAGTGGCTGGCCGGTCGGAGTGTACGTACGCCCATCATCACCTTTCTCCAGCCTCATAAATTACGAGTTGACTGGGTTTACCGGTAGACTGACCTCTGCAAACCACCGGGAAAGGCGATCGATGTCCTGCTGAAGTAAGTCACAGCCGTCGGGATCATTACCCACCAAATCTTCATGTCCTCCGCAAAAAGCACAAAACGACCGGAGAACCTGAGGTACTTCGTTGATGTCAATCAGAAACAAAATTGGCACCAGCACTGTGCCTTGGGGTACCTCACTATTCGAAGGGCAACCGTCCGTTAGGTGTCCAACCACCTGTACTCTACATTTGCGCCTAATAAGGAAGTCACTGATCCAGTGACCATCAACACCGCAATCCTCAGCTTGTTGAGGAGGACCTCATGGTTCACTTTGTCGAACGGTTTAATTAAATCAATATAGATCACATTCAGTGACCTCTACCGGTTCAACGCTTGTAACCATTCATGTCAGGTTGGTGATACAGAAGTGGTTCTTCATGAAGTCATGCTGTGCGCGCGTCAAGAGATTTCTCGATTCCAACAACTGTAGCAGGCCCTTCTTTACGATCTTCTCGAATACTTTGGCCAAAACGGAGGTCAGACAAATAGGGCGGTAAATGTCTCCCTTACATGGGTCAACGTAATGATTAGGAAGTCAGGAAACTGAATGCTTTATTCAGACCTAAAATACGAGTGCGCATTGAAAGGTAATCAAGGAAACCAACAATCTTACTAAGGTCTACGGTTGGATTCAGTCCTCAAGGAAGACAAATGCACCTACTTTTGGTGGATCGATTTGCTTTGGTTCACATCACCATAGAAATACTATAGTAATTAGCGTTGCTATTATTAAAAACGATGGTTTAAAAGGAGTGAACGAGAAAATAAAACTCCAGACATAACCGTTAGGAACCGGAGATAAGCGAGAGACTGCAAGAGTGCCGCAGAATTGGTGATTTTACTACATCCACTGGCGTAGCCGGTATCGAGGATCACAACCAGACAGGTGACAAGCACAAACCCGATTAAGCCCGTCGACGAGTCCCTTCATACTCATCTGCCATGTCATTGGCTATCCATCTCGAATTTTTAACCCCGTGTGTACAAGTTACCGACAAGGATAAAGCCGAGCGACAAATAAACTGCAAGTAGGAAGACGCTCGCGAGTCTAAAATGATGTCATGAAAAGAGAGCAAATGTCGATACGCAGCGGGCCACTTCAAGCATAAGTGTCCACGCTGGCTTTTAATGGAGGTAGTGGGCGGGTCATGGCATATCATCAACGAAACATTCATAGATGGCTGATGAGTCCACTGAGCTCCGATAACCACATTAGGGTTAGGATACCGTACTGAAGCGATCTTGTATCTACATGTACAGGAAAGGAAACTGTCTTCAACAAATAAATATTTATTCTCGGCTATACGAGGCACGCCTTTAAACGCATGATCATGGGCTGAATCGAAAAGTCACTGCCCTACACTGAATTGGACTAATATGTGAAAACCAAAGTGAAACGGGGGATACATGAGCAGAGCAAACAGGTTATCCGTTAAAGACTGAAGAACTCTATGATACAAAGTAGCCTCATTAAAGTGAGTCATTCATCTAGCTACGGAGCTAGGTACCATTGAGGGTAAAGAATGAATTGGCAGCTCGTATTGCTTACTTTGTATTTCGAGAGACCATATAAAATTTCTCCACATAGTCTGAACGACCAAGTAAGTAGACAAAATCCTCATCGTGTGTAATCACAATAAGTTGGAAATTCCTTTGGTGCCTTCGATTTTTGATGATTCTGTGGAAGTAAGAAACAAGTACCAGTGGAAGAATGAACCTAAACAATACTGGAGTCAACAAATACGGTCATCCTGTGTCTACCAGTAAGGAGTTCTAAAACGCATGAGGTTCATGAGGTCACAAGTGAGCCGGTTCAGTATGGGATTCTATTACGGAAACCTATTCATTGAGAGTGAACTATTGGGTAACAGGAGAAAAGTGATGCAAAAATCGGGACCATAGACAATTCGGCATCGAAGAGAGGTGAAATTGTAAAAAGCAGTAAAAAAATCCGTTTGTGTGCAAACTCAGTTGTTCACATAAAGCAATGTATGTTGGCGCTCAACAAAGAACAAATGGCCACGTGAGCCATGGGAAGGTGTGCCAATGTCATTTAAACACATAGTACCAAGGAGATCTAGTCAGAAAACGATAAAAACGAAGGAAACAGATAGAGAAATAAAGGAAAACTACGACACGCGTGTGATCAGAAATGGTCAATCTGTCCAAAGAGGATAAAATGGCTTATAGCTATATAAAGTTGGAAGGATGACCTCTGTCAAATCGCTTAATCAGTCGGTTTAAATGACCGTAATTGCACATAAAAGAGTAAAAGAGAATGGCAGTCTCTGAATGAATATGGGAAGCCACTAGTATTTCAGTCGATGTGAAAGAAAAGTTCGCATGAGTAAAAAAGTTAGAAACCGCATGTGCAACGTCTACATTCAGGTAGAATAAAGTTCAACTAGACGCTGGCGGATGATAGAAACGTTGAAGGAGAGTATGCCATCACCCGTTTCAGTTGACGATCAAACAATAAATATCGCACGACTGCAAAATGTAGTAGGGAACACACAAAAAAGAATCGCAAGCGACTAAACTTGTATGACAAGAACGACTAGTGGAAAACATTCACTGCAACCCACGAAGAAATCTTAAGCCTAAGTGATGAACGTGATAAGAAAGGAAGTGATGACAACATCGTTGTTAGAATGCTAGAAGCATAGCTCACTCGACTAATGCATAGGCCAAGCTTTCAATGTTCTCCCTGTCCAGATTGGTAGTCGGTTCATCCAACGCTAAGACGCCGCAGTGGAGACAGAAGACCTCGGCCAAAGCCAAACGGATGATTAGACTTGCGAGCACTTTCTGGCCCGAGGAACAGCGCCCACGCATATCAAGCCGCGTTTCATCCGCATTCGCACGTGTGGATCTGCACGTAGTGCCACCCATTCCCGAGGTGGCCTTGACCATCACGACCCGGTAATTGTAAGTGCGTCGGGCACGAAATGCGTTTGAAGCCGCAGCCGCCGTGTCTTCCTCGCTGCAAATTTCGATGTATTCGATATCTTGAACAGAAACATAAATATACATAAGACATTGTCATTTGATTACGTTCTATAGTCAACATAAGAATGAAGACGTTAAACTACGGAGTCAAATGGAGTTAACTACGAGGAAAGAAGAATATTTTACATTTGTTATAAACAGTCAGCAAAGAACTAAGTCAGTAGACCAGAGAGATACATTAAACTAGTGGTCGTTTAGGGTTAGTGTCAATGTTTGGATAAGCGTGAGCGCGAACATAAGATGGACGCTCGGAGTAACGCTCGAAGCGGTTGATACGAATAAGATATACTCGTAAGCATGGGATTTCGATAATTGGTTGCAGTCAACTCTCAGTCAGACAGTCTCCCACACATGCGAAAAGCACCGGACGCCCGCTTCCTCCTATTTAGGCCCGCGAGTAGCGCGCTCCACTAGGAACCGTATCCATGGCGTCTCGATGTCGCTAGACCATAGGTGACGGCAGTAGATCGCAATGACTGATAGTTAAGTGCGACATGGCGAGACTCACCCAACACAGTCATGCAAGTTAGCACCTTTTCAGAAAAGAAGGTTTGAATCTCAGCATCCGTTTAATCAGAACGTGAAAGCCTCTAAATGATCTGGCTCTGTTTGATGAAGATCTGTCGCAATCATGGAAGGTAACGATGCATGACGCATCAACAGTTGGAGAATCGGAAGGTGGAACATAATGGAACTGATCTACGTTGCAGGTATACCCCTAGCCTTCATGTTGAACAACCCATGGAGTTATAACATGAGGGTAATTATTTTAAAAAAGCACCATTGATGAATAAAGCAAGAGATCAAACTTAGTGCGCTGGCGTAAAAGGTTAGACGAGCAAGCGCTAGGAGTGTAGGAAAAAAATACTGAAAGGATTTGGAAGAAAAGCAATTGCTCCTATGGAAGTAAATGAGTCGGAAACACCAGAATTTACAAAAAATGTAGTGAAGTCTGCAGAGTCCAAACGGATACTTGAAAAATAACAAAAATGAAAAACGTGACACTGCGCACAGAGCAGCGCATAGCGGCTCGGTTCAGTTAGTCGAATAAGCGATAAAGTGTGATTTCCCCGATCAAGTTTAATTGCGTCGTCACGGCAGAAAATTAAAAAGAGGGAGGAGGGTTAAAAAAAACTAAAAGGAAATAAAAAATCTGCTCGGAGAAGGTTTGGAAACAGCCGATAATGTTTGATTAGACGGGGCATTTACAGCACTCCAGTGGACGGAAAGCGATTCGCATTGAAACGAAATTTGGTAGATGTGATCACTGGGATCGTAACTGAAACCGATGAGCAATGAATGTTGTTGGACTAAAAATGCATTCCACAACCGGTCACATGTATCACCACAAGAGATAGGAGGCATTCGAACCAGTGGCCTCAGGCATGTAAGCCGAAACTTCCACTCCTACTGCTCCAAGTCAATGGGTGAAACCCCAGTGAAGTGAACCAAATGTATCTAAAAGGAATGAGCAGGTTGAGTGTTCAGTATTGCCTTGCGTGGTGTGCATCATATGACGCCAGGTAAAAGCCTGTGCTGGATGGACGGATGACTATCTGTGAGCAATGGCGGGAGTCTGCTGAAAATGTACACTACTGCTGCATATCTTCATCTGATACATATGACGGCACAAGACTTCTCTGCGTCAGTCCGAGACTCCTATGTTGGCTGGTGTCCGATATCCTATCTGGACGCGGAGTGTAAGGATTACAAGGTGTTGGTTCAATGGCTGCAAGGATCTTTCGAAATCACATACCAGGTGTTGAAGCGATTGAGTGCATAAAACAAGTAGCACATCAGATGTCATGCCCAATGAGATTGGAAGTCCATGAGAGGGGAGAAGATGATATCCTGATAAGCAACAAGTTACAAATGTGGGTAATCCTCTACCGCATCTCCTAGAAGAGTTCAAAGTAGAGTTAGTAAACCAAAAGAGATCATAGAAGGTGCAGTGTTTTAAAACGGTTGTTGTAAGAATGGGACCACGCTGTCTGAAATTACATCAATGTGATCAGTTAGATACTAACGCTAAACAGCAGTAGGACGAGCACTTCGTCTTATCATGATCATCCATATACACGTTAGCTAGAAGTGGAAAACACCTCAGCTATTGTGCTGCAATACAAAAAAGAAGAAAAAACACTGCAATAGAAGCATACTAGTTGAGCAACCAGACGGCTATTGTGCCGCAAAAAGTTATTACGCGTAGAAAATGAGATTGTGGTTGGAGGGTGAGGGACAACGAAACTCACAACACAAACGTCACTAAGGTCGGTTCCTAACCATGTCAACAAATGTATCCGGCCAAACGTGTTCATCGTCTTCCTGACCCCAACCAAGCAGCTCAGAGGTTTCAATAGAGGCTTTCATTTCTCTTGACCAAGTCATCGTTTGGCCATCCCTCCTCTACTTCCATCCATACCCCAGCGCGCAAGCAACGCACATGGCGGAAGTCGGTGGGCTGGCATGCGCAACACGTGGCCCAGCTATCGAAACCTGGTGTGTGATATAACGGTGCCCAATAGTTCACTTCTTCTTCCTGTGCCATAAACAAGGCGTCAAACAAGCGGCGTTCCCACCAGATATGAGCCAAACTACGTAAACCCCAGTGGTCGAAGGTAACTAGCCTCTTTATGTCTGCCGATCTAATTGGCCAGGTTTCACAACCGTACAGTAGGGTCGAAGGTACGGCTGCAACTTTAAGGTCAAAGCAGCTAAGCCGGCGGCGCTATATCACATCTAGTAACTTAGTCACGAGAAACGTTACCGTCTCCCATAACTCAGTGGTCTCAACTACATACTAGCAATAGTCGAGTTGCGGGTTCGGGCCTAAGAGGAGCCAGATGGAATGCGTACAGCTGACGATTCGCGAAAGGATGAAACGACCGTACATTGCTATTCCGGGCGCGTGATAGCTAGCTGGCTGAGTCTATATATGATGGATTTCTACTTTTACCATTCAAATACCACTACAACTCCTTGGTAACGAGTCGATAATGGGTGCATATTTACAGCGGACGCCCACCAACGTGCGTGTGGCCTGAATGACCCTGTGCGGGATTACGATGACCCCTTGCGTTCCTAATCATGTTGGCCGGAATTGTAAAAAGTTCTCAGTATTACGAAAAAGCGTACTAACTGCGTGTAATAAAGTACTTTCGGTGGTACCAAGTGTGCTGTAAATTAGAGCATAGACAATGGCAGTGGAAAAAGTGCGCTAATCACGAATTGTCCGCTTGATTTAGTTGATTTTATGAAATGCGGAACAGGTATCGAAGCGATCAGCGAGGACTCATTCGACCTTAGAGAGAAAGACAATATTTACTAAAGGTTAACTTGTGTCTACTGTGTCATCAAAGCCAGAAGCGTGCATCAAATAGAGAGAGGATAAGTTAGGCGCGGTGAGGTCAACAACCGTATGAGTTTTGGTGTCGGAATCGCAGCGCACAGACACTCACAGAGCATACAAAGTACGTGCAAATGCAATCGGTTGATCTAGTTCTCGGACACTGAACAGTATTAGTGTCGTAACCTGCTAAGGATGTTTATAACGACAGAATACTGAGCATGGTAGTGCCAATGGTAAAGGCAACAGGACATCAACTGTCATCAGTTAAGCTGCATCCATTTCACCAAAGAGGAGGAGAACAATGACCAATTGCCATACTTAGACATGCTCGTCAAAAGACATGCTTCCGAGACCATGGAAACAAGTCTATCGTAAAGCCGGAACTCAATCAACAAGCACCTGGAACTAGAGGGTGTCTATGAAGCTCTGCAGGTGATGAAAACAATAAATACCAGATGGACAGAACGAAGGCGCGACCACTTGACCGACCCACGTGAACGAATCGGAGACTGGCATTAAAAGCAGGAGACGATCAATATTCACTTGGATCTGGCAGTGGCTTGCGAGGCTATGCGAATCAGACCTAAATAGCCGCAATGAGGATGTTGCCCAGCTTGGTAATGAAACGTCTGCAACAAAATTGCCCAGCTCGGAGAACACATCAACCCTCTCACAAGGGGAAGGTTAGTAAAGAGCGTGATGATGGAGCAGAAAGAACTAGGTGTCCATAGTAACGCTTTCATTTATTCGACTTGATGTGCGGTGCGGACAATCCGACCCTACTGTAACTGCGCAACGGCTGATGCAAGGTGAGGGCGACTTTCGATGGAAAACTCACCATTATCTTGGAATATATTTAGCACCGATCAAGAAGTCATCATTTCAGAGGAGCTGGTAGACGACCAGTTAATATAATTTTTAAGCGGCATATCGTTTCGTTTTTGACTCAAAATCTTCTTCAGGCGAAGTGAATTTGCTTAATATTGGCATTTCATAACGACCATGAGTAAACGACATACAGAGTTTAATAAAATTGCAGTTCTTTGATGAAATGTTTCAGCAGTCAAAAGTCACTAGGTTCATGGGTACTTCGTGGTTTGTTTCAGCCAGGGTCAAATGAGAACAAAAAATGCTGGTCATAGGGTAGGTATCTGTATGGTCGGCAATCTTAAGTGGTCCGTTGGAAGGAACTTGGTCAATGACAGAATTTGTCTTCAATTGTTTATTTGTCCTCCGAGCTTGGCGGTTTGAGTGCCAACGTTTCACCACCATGCGAGGTGGTATCCTCGGCGTACGGCGCGCATGAATCGTCCATCAGTGATCGACCTGCGAGTGACTTTTGAAAGTGACAGTCTCGATTTGCATCCCGTGACCTCTACCCACTTTCAACGACTGAAGTCGGCGCCCGAGTTGTTGTCTTCGGCACTTAAGAATTTGGTGGAGGAAGCGATGATTGTCCCTTCCGATTTCGGATCCATCCGCCTATGCTTATCAAACTGACCGGAGAAGGACTGGAAGCCAAGCACCAGACAGCCCTACTCCGCCTAATCTATTCATACAATCGTTATTCCTGGATACTTTTATAGCCTCAGCAATTCCTCCTTGTTGGGCTGATAGCGCTCGCTTCATGATAACCTCGACATTTTCGAA